GAAATAAAGAGCTTCCCGGATAAGAAAAACTAATGGAATTTATTTAAGGGCATGGGGTGGGATGGGAACTGGGTGGAGGGGAGCTATTGGGGGGAAAAAGAGGAACAACTGTAATAATCTGAACAAGAAAGATTTACTTATTTTTAAAATATATTTTATTGATTTTTTACAGAAAGGAAGAGAGAGCGATAGAGAGATAGAAACATTGATGAGAGAGAAACATTGATCAGCTGCCTTCTGCACACCCCCTCCCAGGGATGTGCCCGCAACCAAGGTACATGCCCCTGCCTGGAATCGAACCCAGGACCCTTCAGTCCGCAGGCCAACGCTCTATCCACTGAGCCAAACTGGTTTCGGCTAAAGATTTATTTTTTTTTAAAAAGAAAAATAGCCAAAACCGGTTTGGCTCAGTGGATAGAGCGTCAGCCTGTGGACCGAAAGGTCCAGGTTTTTTTTGTTTTTGTTTGATTGTTTTTTAAATATATTTTATTGATTTTTTACAGAGAGGAAGGGAGGGAGATAGAGAGCTAGAAACGTCGATGAGAGAGAAACATCGACCAGCTGCCTCTTGCACACCACCTACCGGGGATGTGCCCGCAACCAATGTACATGCCCTTGACCGGAATCGAACCTGGGACCTTTCAGTTCGCAGACCGATGCTCTACCATTGTGCCAAACCGGTTTCGGCAAGATCCAGGTTTGATTCCGGTGGGGATTGTGCAGGAGGCAGCTGTTCGATGTTTCGCTCTCATTGATGTTTCTAACTCTCTATCCCTTTCTCTTCCTCTCTGAAAAAACCAATAAAATATATATTTTTAAAAGATTATATTAAAAGAAAAAGAAAAATACTTGGATTTTTTTTTTTAAACAGTATCTAAGGAGCTTTCTTATTTGATGGCTGAGGAGGGAGGAATAATCCTCAAAAGAGACTGATTAGGAATAGTCAAAAAGACAAGAGGAGCCCAGTAAGTGTGGCTCAGTGGTTGAGTGTTAACCTGGTTAGGAGGTAGAAATTCCCGGTCAGGAAACATGCCAGTAGGGGGCGTGCAGGAGGCAGCTGATCAATGACTCTCTTTCACCATTGATGTTTCTATTTTTCTCTTCCTCTTTCTCTCCCTTCCTTTCTATGAAATATATATATAATTTTAAAATAGGAGGAAAACCAACAAAATATATTGCCAACAGCATCAAGAGAAAGCGAATAATTAAAAGTGCTACTGAGGGAAGATTTGAATGAATGGGAGATAAACATTAATTGCAACCGCTGGGATGAGTGAGATAATGAGTACAGTGGAAGCTGTGATGCATTTCCCTGACCTCCTTTCAGGAATGATTTTATTCCACCATTTGCTGGAGCGCTGCCAGCACTTGCCTCAGTTATCAGCCTATTTGAGTAGTTGCCTTGGCTCAAGAGATGCTCAGTGCTTAAATTCCTACAACCTTCCTTGGAAAAACCTGAATCCCCTCTGGGAAAAACTTGGAAAGTTTACTTCAGGCCCTGGCTAAGTGGCTAAGTTTGTTGGAGCTTCATCCTATACACCAGTGGTCTGCAAATGGCAGTTCGCGAGCCACCTGAGGCTTTTTGGCCTCTTGAGTGTGTCTCTTCCACAAAATACCACATGGGGGCGCACAGGTTCAGTGTGATTGAAACTTCGTGGCCCATGCGCAGAAGCCGGTTTTCGGCTCTCAAATTTCAATCATTGTACTGTTGCTATTTGGCTCTGTTGACTAATGAGTTTGCCGACCATTGCCACACATCAAAAGCTGTCGGGTTTGATCCTGGGCAGAACCTAGGTTGTGGGTTTGACTCCTGGGTCAGGATGCATTCTAGGAAGGCAGCTGATTGATGTTTCTCACATCATTATTTCTGTTTTTCCCTTCCTCTCCCTCAAAAAAAAAAAAAAAAATTAAAAACAAGAACGTTAACTCCAGTTTTAGAAATGTGGGTTAGGCTATGGCATTGTTAAGACTGGGCATTACAACCTAACTTATCCCTCTGCCCATTTTTGCCTCCTCTCCTTCTCTTCCACGGATTCTGATTCCTAATAAACTTCCTGAATACTAAACTCCATTGCAAGAGTCTGCTTCCCAGAGAACCCAATTCTGACAATGAGTTTTATTTATAGGAAGTGATGGGGGACATGAGAAGCCAAACTGCAAAAGGTGGGAAATAAATGGTAAGCCCGCCTGGCGTGCTCAGTGATTGAGCATCCACCCATGAATCAGACGTGGTTGTTTCTATTTCCAAGTTTCAGGCTCAATCCCCAGTAGGGGGCATATCCCCAGTAGGGGGCATGCAGGAGGTAGCTGATTGATGAGGCTTTTTACAGAGAGGAAGGGAGAAGGATAGAGAGCTAGAAACATGGATGAGTGAGAAACATCGACCAGCTCACTCCTACAACCCCTTCCCCCCACCGGAGATATGCCCGCAACCAACGTACATGCCCTTGACCAGATCGAACCCAGGAACTCTCAGTCCGCAGACCAACGCTTTATCCACTGAGCCAAACCGGTTTTTAATTGATGAGGTTTTGCTCTCATTGATGTTTCTATCTCTCTGTCCCCCTTCCTTCCTCTCTCTCTAAAAATCAATAAAAAAATTCTTTTTAAAAAGAAATTTAAAAAATTAAAAAGTTAAAAAGAAATAAATAGTAAGGAGAATGAAACAAGCAAAAATGGGTAACTTAATTTTGCTTTCACAGATAAGAGCATGATCAAAAACAAGACAGTATTAGGGCTCACCACCCACTCCCTCTTTAGTATAGGAGCTATTTGACTGAAAGATAAATGCCAGTTACACACAGAGGATTCTATATCATTGAAATTAACCCTTAACAAGGAGAGAAGACTAGTTAGAAATATTACTTTCTGGTGTGTTTTTGTTGTTGCTGTGAATCCTCACCCAATGATATTTTTTAATATATATATATATATATATATATATATATATATATATATTATTGATTTTAGAACAGGAGGGACAGAAACATCGATGAGAGAGAATCATTGATCAGCTGCTTCCTGCACACTCCATTCTGGGGAAGGAGCCCACAACCCAGGCACATTCCCTTGACTGAAATTGAACCTGGGACCCTTCAGACTGCAGGCTGATGCTCTATCCACCTAGTCAAACTGGCTAGGGCAGGATATTTTCCCATTGATTTTTAGAGTAAAAGGGAGGGAGAAACATCAACATGAGAGGCACATCGACTGGTTGCCTTCCACACACCCCAACAGGGGTGGGGGTCAAGCCTGCAACCAACCTATCTGCCCTTGATTGGAATCGAACCCAGGACCCTGCAGTCTGTCAGCAGTGGATGCTGTATCCACTGAGACAAACCAACTAGGGCATACTTTCTGTTAACATATTAAGTGCATTGTCAGTCACCGGTGACTGACACTAGACTTTCCATTTGGATCGCTACAATCTCCAGCCACCAGCATATCCATGAAATCAGGTATCTCGGAGTAAAGGAAGACAAAACAGGTTTGGCGCTTAATGTGTTAATGTATCAGGACACAAAGTCCTTTAATCAGTATTAGATCGCTAAGGAATTATGTTATGAGTAGCCAACATGTTTAAAGATCGACATAAACTTTAAAATTGGCTACCTTATGTCAGTCTCCTAAATTTAAATAGTGAGTCAGTTAAAATAGGTACAGTCTGTACCTAATAAAACTGGATCTTTAAACCACTCTCCCACAACCTCCTTCTAGCCCCAGCTGAACTACTGTTCAACCCTTAAACCCATGGTCAGCAAACTGCGATTTGCGAGCCACATGTGGCTCTTTGGCCTCTTGCGTGTGGCTCTTCCACAAAACACCGCAGCCTGGGAGAGTCTGTTTTGAAGAAGTGGCATTAGAAGAAGTTTAAGTTTAAAACATTTGGCTCTCAAAAGAAATTTCAATCGTTGTAATGCTGATATTTGGCTCTGTTGACTAATGAGTTTGCCGACTGCTGCCTTAAACCAATAACTGAATCTTTCTTGGATATGTGATTAAATGGCAGGAATCAAGAGACTTCTGAAAAGCTTTTCTATGGAGATCCAAATAAAGATTCAAAAAAAAACCCCACAAGAAAACAAAACAAAACAAAAAAACCCCAACTATATGGGAAATGAAACTTTCAGAGAATGAGTTGCTATATGACAAATAATTTTGACCAAGGCATGGGCGTGCAAAAAGCGATTAGGTTAAGCATAGACGCAAAGCTTCAAGACAGAGGAAATAACCCATAAATCCTCCAAAAATAGCAATAATACAGCGCTGGCTGCAGTCACGCGGCTACAATTCCCTCACGCCACCAGCGCGTGACGATTCCAAGAGCCCTCCAGCGTCTGGCAGGCGAGGAAAAGCTACACCAGCGGCGAACACAAAGGCAGAAAATTTACAATTGACCCCGGAAACATTTCATTCGCGTAGGTAACTGGAGGCATTTCTTTGGCGATTCGCTCCTTGATCCGGAAGAAGAGATACCAAACGTCACTTGCGATTGGGTCGCGTTACAAAGGCGGAGCTTCTGCCAGCCAATCACGTTGGAGACCGGATATGACGTCCCTGGAGACGCCGGCGGAGCTCTCCTAGGGCTGGCGGCTGCGGTGGGCGCGGCCTTTCGCGGGGACCCGGCACTGCGAGGGGCGGTGCCACTCAGGCCACACCTCCCGCGCCGACGCCGAGAGGCTCCGGAGCGAAGCGGTAAGCCTCGGGGGGCGGGGACTCGGGCTGGTCCTTTCTGAGCTTAGGGCTCGGCCGTCTCTGTCTTCGGCGCCCACTCTTCCGGTTTCCGGTGGCCGCGCCGCCTCCCTCCGAGGTTCGGGGCTACACCCTGTGGAGAACTCGCCGTTGTCCGTCCTCCCTCCTCTCAGCTTCGAACCCCTTCGGAGTCGCTCCGGGGCAACTGCCGCCCCACCTCTCCTCGCTCTGATTGCGCCCCTGAGGGGACCCCAGGCCCACACTGCCCCCTCCTGGATGCGCTGGCCCCTCCCCGTCCCCCCAGTAAAATGTCCCATAACCTCCAGGGAGTCTTCCTGAAAGCCGCCGAGGAGAAGCCAGGCAGCGCCTCGCCCTGGTAAGTACAGGCTCCCACGTCCCCGGACACGCCCGCCCCGCGCCCGTCTCTCGGCAGGATGTCGAGTCGCCGTCGTTTCCTGTCACCGCGGCCCCCGAGGGGCGCGTCCCGCGGGGGGGCGCCCCGCCTCCGGCGCCGGCTTCCTGGAGGTTAGAGCCCTTAGGGCGCGTCCTTCTCGGCAACCAAACCCTCCGCGGGCAGCCTCGGCCCCGGCCGGCCTCTCCGATCTCCCAGGCGGACGGAATAGAGCTCCACGGGAGAGGAAAACCAACATGGCCGACGCGCCTGTGTGACCAAACCCTTCTGGAAGGTTCTCGCGCGCGCACTCGCAGGAAAAAAAAAAAAAAAAAAAAAAAAAGCAGCGATCTGCGCGGCAAGTGCAACCCAGGGGGCGCTGGACGTTCCGTGGAAATAACCATAATTTAAGTGAGGATATAGTTATGTCATTGATAGGAGTCTATACATTCAGAACCGAATTTTTTTTTTTCCCCCCTTAGAATAAGGGAATCGAATATTTTTAAATTTTCGAATCACAGCTTTATGTGGAGAGAAAGGAAAGGAAAAAAAAAAAAAAAGGAAACACCGGAAATGCGCCTGTAAAATCAATCTTTTGGAACATGTTTGAAGCAGGGGTAGTGCGAATGCCGGCTCTCACTGGATATCTGTGTGAAGAAGTATGTTTGATGTAGGGAGGTTCCGGGATTAAAGACCTCCTTGTCCGTAAATGTAGAAAATGGTTTATCCCTGACTCAGTGGGGTTTTTTGTTTTGTTTTTTTTTTTGGAAGCTTCTGTTAATCGACAAATGAAACGGAAACAGAATCGTTAGCTCCGGTAGAATATTGAAGGTGGTATAAGGAATGAGTGGTGAGGAGAAGGTAACGGGTCTCTGCAGGAGGAAAAGGTGAAGAAGGAAGCATGGAAGTTAAGATGTAAAATGCATGGAAGAGGATTTATGAAGAAAACCAAACTGCCTAGGTGGAATTCTAGCTTCGTGAGGCTAAGGACCTCGGTTTTCATTATTGAAATATGACCACCTAGGGATAGGTTAGGGATGAAAAGAGTGGATATGTGTAAAACAGGAAAAATAGCGAAGCACTGTTAAAATGTTAGAAGAATACAACTTCCTTAGAAATGGGGATCACGGAGTAGGTCTCCTTTCAGGATAAGTAGATTCTACACCGAAATTGTAATCAAGACTTTGGAAAGACATGCGTAGTATTCTAAAATGAGGCCGCCGCTAAACGGGGTGCGCTGAAACAATATGATTTTGGGGAACTGTCAAAAAGAATGATTGCATTGTGTTTCGAATCGTGAAAAGAGCCAGCTTTTGTGTATGTGTGTTGCTTATTGGGTTATTTTTGGTGGAAGTTCGGTGGAGTGGCAGAGGCAGTGCTCTGGATGGACATGCAGAAGTAGGATTACTTTTTAATGACTGTCTTCTAGTTTGAGTATCTGCATATTTGATGACATCTGACTTATCCTAACAACTCAGTTTGTTTCCGGATTGCATTTGTTTTTAATATCAGAAATAAGATAGAGGAAGAACTTTGTATTTTTATTTATTGTGTACTTGAACTTTGTAATCCTGTTTTTAACCCTTTGGCTATCTATTTTTGGCATTTTATTATATAACACGTTACCGATTGAACCACGTTTTTATTACATTCATAAATCATTTGGAGTTCATTAACTCATTGATTTATGCATTCTTTTCATCATCTTCAAATGCATTTTTTCCCCTCGAACCATTTACTTTCGTTATTGGTTGCATATTAATTTCTATTCTGTTTTGTTAGTAACAATCTGCATTCCAAATAGAATTTTGTAAGACATTTGATTAAGGTTCTTTATTGGGAACTTAGTGTTTTATTTTTCTGATACTTTTTATGGTAGTAAATAATTTATTTTCTTCCCAAACTTTACTATGATTTTTTTTTGTACAGTTACTTGAATTTTCTTGAGTTACTTCTTTTCTTTTATATTTTTACTAATGTGATACAAAAAGTTTATTGTTTAAAGTATTTCTAATTCATCAGTGCTTAAAATGTAAAACTCACATTTAATTGTATACAATGGAAAAATCTGGAAGATATTTGAGATAGTAGATATTGCGTTTATTTTGACTTAGGCTTTATTAACAGAGAGCCAAGCTGGAGTCAGAAAAGTGTAGTGGAAAGAAGGTATTGAGACCTAGTTTAATACTATCAATATAGTTCAAACATCTGGTAGCATTCAATGAGTGCCTACTCTGATAGACTGTGCAAAATGGAGAGACAAACTAAAAAATACGATATGGGCCATGATTGTGAAAAACTTTACAGTCTAGAAGGGAGATGATGTGTTATATTTTTTAAGTGTTGTGCACAGGATATTGTGAGGGCATAGAGAATAGGAATTGAAGGAAAGGTTTCTGGAACAGTTGAGTTGGGGAATGTAAGTATCAGCAATTAATTTAAAGGTGAATATAGGTGCCCTGGCAAGTGTGCTCAATGGTTATAGCATTGGCTGCATATTGAAAGGCTGTGAGTCTGGGGTTCCATTCCTCATCAAGTGCATGTACCTAGGTTGCAGGTTCGATTGGGGTGTGTGTGGGAGGCAACCAGTCGACGGGTCTCTCTCACATTGATGTTTTTCTCTGTCTCTCTTCCCTTCTCCCTCCCTCCCTTCCACTCTAAAAAAAAAATCAATGGGGAGAAAATATCCTCGGGTGAGGATTAACATGAAGAGAGTACGGGCTATGTCTAGGCAGAGAGAATTGGTAAAATAAAGTACCAGTATGTCTAATTACTAACAGTTGGCATTTATTGTTTGATTCTGTTTGCCCTGCTGAAGAGATTTAAGAAAAGGACTACTTGGTCACCTGTGCATTTTAGATAACCAGTGCGTTATTTATCTTTGGGGGCGAGGGATCAGGCATCTAGAGATTCCATATTACTTGTCCTTTCAGAGATGCTTAGGCTTGAATTGCCTGATAAACAGTAAGGGTTGGATTCAAAGAATACAGAAGGGAAAATAGGCAGACCTTGCCAGTGAATTGACTCGAAGAAAAGACCATCAATTATGATGCCAGTTTTCTGGGTTGGTACTGGTAAATTGAGATGAACACACCAGGAAAGCCATCTGAGAGATATTTGAATCTGAAACTCAAGGCTCGGAGCTGAAAATAAAGATGTGAATCATCAGCTTAGAAGTATTATAATAAAAGCCTATAATAATAGGAATTAGGATGTCATGTGATTGTCAGTTGGCTTCTATCCTCCCTTAACCCTTTGTTCTAAAATGGGAAGTTAAAAACTAGTGTCCTTAGCAGGTGGCTTGCTTTGGTTAGATAATGCTCTATTGTGAATTCAGTGTGTATTTTGTTTTATATACAGTATAGGTATTATTATGTTTTCTTTTGTGATTGATTTTGTGTGTGTGTGTGTGTGTGTGTGTGTGTGTGTGTGTGTGTGTAAGAGAGAGAGAGAGAGAGACAGAGACAGAGACAGACGACATACCATTACAGACTGTCTGAAATCTATTTTTCATTAATTTCTCAATTTGTGCAATTGAATTTTTGGACCCTGGTATGTTGGGCTTATGCTAAAGTAAACAAAACAAAAAATGGATGGGGTTGCCCTAGAGAGCATGTATTTCTGAATAGATTATTCAGAAAAACCTCTATTTTCTCAACTATAAAATAGGAACAGCAATATCCACCTTGCTGGGCTACTTATAATAGATTCCAATATATGTGTGTGTGTGTGTGTGTGTGTGTGTATATATATATATATAAAATATGGCATATATAATTACATTATGTATTTATATGTATTATATATGTATATTAAAGTTAAATCAGCCCTGACTGGCTTGGCTCAGTGGATAGGGCATTGGCCTGCAGATTGAGAGGTTCTAGATTCAATTCCGGTCAGGGGCATGTACCTTGGTTGCGGGCACATCCCTAGTCAGAGGTGTGCAGGAGGCAGCTGATCAATGTTTCTCTCTCATTGATGTTTCTAACGCTCTATCCCTCTCCCTGCCTCTCTGTTAAAAATCAATAAAATACATATTTTAAAAAATAAAATAAAGTGAAATCAAAGATAGTAAGATGAAAAAAGGTCTCCTAGCACTTGAAAAAATATATTTTGCAAAAGTATCTACAAAATGTTCATTAGCCTGAAAATTTTTTATCATTTCATTTCTAATATGTAAATGCTTCATATCAGTATTACAATATTATATAACTGTAAAAAGGTCAGTTATATAATATTGTAAATATGTTTAGTATACCTTTTATTAAACTTACTCCTTTTAATTTCCTCACATTTTCAAGACAACCTGATTCATTTGCTTATTCTTGGGCACCAATTATATGTTTTAATGAAAGATGATAACTAGCATATATTGGGTGCTTATAATCCAGTCAGTTCCTTCATTTACTTCTCATAGCAAGCCCATTTTTCCCATTTTACAGATGAAGAGACAGAGATTCAAAGAGGTTAAGTAAATTTACCAATCTACTAGTAATTGGATGAGCCAAGATTAGAAGCCCATAATCTTTCTAAGATTATTCCTATTTTCTCTTTTAAAGCCTTAAACTGAATTAGTTTTCCAATGTAGTATCTCAGTTCAAACCCAGCTGGTTTAAGATAATTAGCCTGTTGATTATTCTTTTTAAGTGGCCAACCAGAGCATGGGATGCAGAATCAATCTAGTTTTAATTCTGACTTTAGCTAACAGAATATGATCTTTAAGAAAAGAGAATCTTTTTTTTTTTTTTTTTAAGGGTTTGAAGGTTGGATAGATTTTTTAAAATATATATATATTTTATTGATTTTGTACAGAGAGGAAGGGAGAGAGATAGTTAGAAACATCGATGAGAGAGAGTCATCGATCAGCTGCCTCCTGCACACCCTCTACTGGGAATATGCCCGTAACCAAGGTACATGCCCTTGACCGGAATTGAACCCAGGACCCTTCAGTCCCCAAGCTGACGCTCTATCCATTGAGCCAAACCGGTTTCGGCAGAAAACAGAATCTTTATAGGGTTTTTCCTTAATCTCTTAAATGGAATGTTTCTTCTAGATCTGAAAAAAAGATATTGATTGAAGAAGTACAAATTTCACCCTGATTTATCATTTATCTCTTTAGCATTTTGCATTTCAATGTAATGTTTTAGAACTCATTCCATTTGTTACTAGGAAATCATGGATTTTTTAAAATTATAGCTTGTAGAATTGAATTTAGTTAACAGTGTCTACAATATGCCAGTAGCTGTAGAGGATATAGATTAAATTGGATAATCTACTTTTAAGGAATTTATGGTCTCTGGTAGATTATGTGAATCTCTACTAAAATAGAAGAAGCTGTATTTTCCTTTCACTTTTGAAGGGGAGGAGAAGAGAAGAGAGGGGAGAAAATGATGACATTTGGAAATAGATTTTTCTTAGTTCATCTTATTCTTACACAAAGACCATCAAATCATTTTATTCTTCTCAGATCTCTGCGTTTTTGCTCTTTTTTCTTAACAGATGATATCATGCCCTTTATGTAGAGAGGGGGAAAAAAAGTCTTTAAATCAGAATTACTTCAACCCCAAAGCTATAAACTTACCTGAAAGTGCACCTAACCTTTCTTCAGTTCCAGTGGAAGGAGATGTTTCTCCAGCTTCTCTAAGGCTCAGTCCCTCCACCCTGTCTTCTGGTTCCCATTTTCTATCTCCTCACCAATCCTTGTACTTAATTATCCTGCGTTCTTCTTTTAGTATGTCTTTTCCTCTTGATGACTCACTTGAGCATTTACACATGCTCTGGTTCACCTAAGCTTTTTTAAAAAAGATGTCTTCTTTGACCCTGTTTTTAGCCTTCAGCTGCTTTCCAGTCTTTCTCTTCCCTTTTATAGTCAAAGTTCATAAGAGAGTTGTCTATACTTGCTATCTCCATTTTTTCTTCCTATTCATGCCTCAGCAACCTCTCTCTCCTCTAAAGTGTTCTTTTAAGGCCATCAATGACACCTCATTCATTCCAGTGTACTTTTTTAAAATATCCTTTTTTTTAAAGTTTGTTTCTTCCTTTTTCTTTTCTCTCTCTCCTTTCCTTCCTTCTCCTCCCCTCCTCCCCCCTGCTTTTCTTGCTTTCTTGCTTTCTTTTCTATTTTTGTTAATCCTCTCCTGAGGATATTTTCCTATTGATTTTTAGAAAGAGTAGAAGGGAGGGGGAGAGAAAAACATTGTTGTGAGAGAGAGACATCGATTGATTGCCTTCCACACACACCCTGGCCAGAGATCAAGTCTGCAACCTAAATACATGCCTTTGACGGGAATCAAACCGGGGACCCTTTGATATGTTGACACTCTATCCACTGAGCCAAACCAATTAGGGCTCCAGTGTACATTTTTAATCTGAATCCTACTTGGCCTCTCCAAATAAGAATTCCCCAATGTTCTTGAAATTCTTCCTTTGGCTTCCATTGCATCAGACTCTCTTTGTGTTTTGGTGTTTTTTTTTTTTTTTTCTACTCCTCAAGGAAAGTGGGAAGCTTTTGAAATGTTTTGAGCAGGGAAGGGACTGCTTATTTGACTGAAGAAAGGACCAGTTATGAAGCTACTATCATAGTCGAGGCCAGAGATTATGTTTGCTTGGACTAGAGCGAAGAAAGTTAATTTGAAAGGAAATGAAGATCAAGGGAGATAGAGAGGATAATAGCAACAGGATTTCATAATTGAACATAGATGGTAAGAAAGCAGGAATTAGTTGGTCTGACTTTAACATATAAGGTAAATGGATACTATTTACCAAAAAGGGCAGAGGGAGACATTGGAAAAGACCATGTTGAGTTCTATAATAGGTACATTTGAGATTCTGAATGGAAATGTCATGAGGGAAGGTGGATATTAAGTCTGAATTTCAAAAGAGCTAAGATATGAATATTTGATTTGTTGATATATAAATGGTAATTTAATTGAAGCCATATATGTAAAAGAAGTCATCTAGGGAAATCTTACAGAGTAGAAAGAATTCAGTTTAAGCTGTGGTGAATTCCAACATTTGAAGGTTGATTCAAGTAGGATGAATTAGCAAAGAAGACCAAAGAAGTCACTACACAAGTAGGAGAGTGTCAGATCTAGGAAGCCTTGGGAAGAGAATGTTTTAAGAAAAGGTGCAGCAGGCATTTTTATACTCATCCAAATACATCATTTACCTCAATTCTACTCATCTACCGTGTTTCCCCGAAAATAAGACCTACTTACAGGTTTCCTTCTGAGTGAAATATAAGGCATCCCCCCAAAAATAAGACCCCCCTAGGCTAAACATGAGAGATTTGGTCCACTGATTCTGAAAGAAATGGAGTCACAAGAAATTCACCAGGAAATTCAGGAATTGGATTGTTCTGATGATGTTCCATAAGATGACATGATTCTCATTGAAAAAAAATGAGTACATTCTTGATACTATAGGATTCACAGTTTGTCTGGTTTGGGTTGACCACTACCGTTCTACCGTTCCGTATACAGGTAATAAATTTCCTTTATTTTCATTTAACAATAAATGTGTACCGTATTCTTCTTCATGGAAAAATAAGACATTCCCTGAAAATAAGACCTAGCACATCTTTGGGAGCAAAAATTAATATAAGACACTATCTTATTTTCGGGGAAACAAGGAAGTTACATGTCTATAAACCATGTAAGTTCTCATAGGGATTGTGGGATGAACTAGGTTGGAGGCAAGTAAACATTTTCTGTGAAAGGCCAGATATTAAGTATTTTAGGCGTTGCAGGCCATATGATTTCTGCTGTGACTACTCAATTCTGCTGTTGCAGCAGGAAAGCAGCCATATACAGTACATGAAAAAAAAAAATTAGTGCATCTGTATACTAATAAAACTTTATGGACCACGAAATTTGAATCTCATAAAATTTTCACATCACAAATATTGAGAGTTTTTAAAAAATCATAATTTAAAAACCATTCTTAGCTTGTGGACTATATAAAATCAGGGGTCCAAAGGCTATTTTACTGACCCTTTCCCTAATACTGAGGCTGGTGCCTGAACCTTAACAGGCATTAGGTTCTGATCCAGTTTATATGTACTTTTGGGGGTGGGAAAGTAAGGTTGGTTTTCCTCTTCAAGCCCTGAATGCAACAACTTATACTTTATGTTTGTGCTTCTCTTTAGAGATTAACTTTTCACTTACTAAAAGTAAATATAACTATTGAAGCAATATCAAGTAGCCAGAAAGCTGTTTTAAATATTTGTAAGCTGCAGTTATGTTATTTTGGGTTAGAGAAAGATAAAACTGAGCCAGTGTTTTCTAGGCTGCATACAATTTTGGCTTTCCTTTTTGTTAATACCTGAGGTTTAAAAATATATACTAGTATGTGCAGTAATACACAGCTTTACACTTTTGAGAACTCTTTGCCCTTACATTTTTTTCTTTATTTGATCCTAGTCATATAAGGGCATACTAGTTTTATAGGACATGGATCTGTACTCATGTTGCTAGAATTGAGCGTGAGATTAATTAAGACTTAATGACAACTTGTAATAAGAACCATGAAGGAAATCAGCAGGGGTTGTATTGTAGACTATGAAGGAGGGAAAGGGTAATTAAGGTGGACAGATGCTTGGAAAGATCACTTATGCTAAGATCTGAGTTATGTGGGTGGGAGAGGAGTATCTAGGTTGAGAAACAGTATGTGTGATGGCCTTGAGTTCCATGAGGTCTTAATATTTTTCAGGAACTGAAAGGTAGTTTTAGATCTAAATAGATTGAGGAGCCTACATTTAAGAAATCTACAAATAATTGATTATACAGTGATTGATATGGGATTTTTATTTATTTTTATTTTTAAATATATTTTATTGATTTTGTACAGAGAGGAAGAGAGAGAGATAGAGAGCTAGAAACATTGATGAGAGAGAGTCATCGATCAGCTGCCTCTTGCACACCCCCTACTGGGGATATGCCCGCAACCAAGGTACATGCCCCTAACCAGAATCGAACCCGAGTCCCTTCAGTCCCCAAGCCGACGCTCTATCCATTGAGCCAAACCAGTCTCGGCTGATATGGGATTTTTAAAAAATGTTACAATCTGTACTAGAAAATAGCTCATAATTATCCAGATCAAAATTGGTTAGATGAAAAAATATCACTAAAATAAGTAAATAAAAAAATTTGTAAAAAGTTACTTTTAATGTGTTCCATGTTCATTGAAAACCAGCTAAAATGACATTTCAGTTATATATGAACTGGTAGGCAATTGGAACTAATATGAGTAATTGCCATACTAAGGACTGCTTAGCACCAAATTTCAGATGTGCTGAGCCAATAAATCAAAGAAGAAAATGGTTCCCACAAGAGTAACTCAGCTTAGTCTCTGAAAATGTGGCACACCAAGGTATTACCCTAAGAGATGCCTTAGCAAAAGAAGAATGGCTAACAGTAGAACTTGTCATTGTCATTGGTAAGAATACAACAGATTGGGTTGGGAAGAGTGAGGGAAATAGGATAAGCATAACTGGTAGTGAAATGAGAATTCTAGTCAATAAAAGGCGGACAAAAGGAAAGAATTCAAGGAAAAGGAGGAGGGAAGATGCCAATAGTTTAAGAGGAGCATATTTTAGTAGTAGACATAACTTTATATAGGGTGAAACAGTAGGAAATACAGTTTTAGAGTAAATGTTCCTATCTAATATGTATTGCCTAATGTGAAATCTTAAGGTTGTGATCATTTCTTTGACTATTTTTTTCTTCAAAACTTTTACTTTGTAATATTTCACTTTGAAAAATCCAAGTGACAAATGATATACTTTCATTATATTTTATATATAAATATTTGAAAATATTTGAAAATAACTTGGTTTTAAATAAAATGTATGTATCATGAAGTATGTTGTATTTATTACTCGTATTCTTTTAAGTGTTTCAGGCTGCATGTACCAAGTAGTTCAGACGATTGGCTCGGATGGAAAAAATCTCCTGCAATTACTTCCAATTCCTAATTTCTCTGGAAATCTTGTACCACTAGTTCAATCTTCAGTTATGTCTGATGCTTTGAAAGGGAATACAGGAAGCCCAGTTCAAGTTACTTTTCAGACTCAGATTTCCAGCTCTTCCACAAGTTCATCAACAGCTCAATTGCCCATTTTTCAGCCAGCCAGTTCTCCAAACTATTTACTTACAAGAACAGTAGATACAGCAGAAAAAGTTAGAGTTACTACTGTGGGAACTGAGACTTTTACCTCATCAATTTCTAAAGTTCAGAGTCATGGTGTGAAAATTGATGGACTCCCCATGCAAACATTGGCTGTTACTTCCTCCTCAACACAAAAAGATTCATCTTATATTTTAGTAAATACTCAGAGCCTTCCAATGACTGTGAAACCTCCAGTTTTGCCTTCTGGGCATCATTTACAGATTCCAGCCCATGCTGAAGTGAAATCTGTACCAGCGACATCATTACCTCCTTCAGTTCAGCAAAAGATACTTCCAACTGCAACCACAAGCTCCTCAGGAACAGTTGAGGCCTCCCAAATACCTTCTGTTATTTACGTATCTCCTGTAAAAACAGTGAAAAATGTAGCTACCAAGAACTTGCAACACATTTATCCAAAACCTGTTACTGAAATAGCCAAGCCAGTGATACTAAATGCCACACAAATTCCAATGAATGTTGCACCAGAGACACAATTAAAAGGTGGTCAGCATTCTCAAGCTGCTCCAGTGAAATGGATTTTTCAAGAAAATCGACAGCCTTGTACTCCATCTCTTGTTCCTGTTAAGTCTTCAAATAATGTGGCTTCACAGATTTTAAAAAGTTTTGTAGAAAAGAAAAGTGTGGGAGGTAATACTATAAAGATGCCACATTTGAGTACCAGCAGTCCTGGTGGGGCACAGTCCAAAAGTGTGCCTATTAAAGATAACGCGTTGGTTATGTGTAATGGGAAAATCTATCTGTTGGCTAAAAAGGGGACAGATGTTTTGTCATCACAAATTGATCATCAGAATTCTGTTTCTCCTGATGTTCCACCAAGGAAAGATATATCACAGATAGTGAGTTCAAGTCCAGTAACAGAACTATCCAGAGAGGTGGTAAACTTTGTTTTGGCTAAAAACAAATCTTCCCAGATGGAGACAAAATCATTTTCAAATACCCAGCCTGCTTCCATGGCCAATCTAAGGGCAGAGAAGAATAAAAAAGTGGAGACACCATCTCTTTCTATCCTACACCCAAATAATATGAACCCATCCATTAACTACTTAAAACAGAGTAAGACTTTATTCCTAAAGGCAGACTTTCCACATGGACTTAGTACAGGACAAAATGCCCCCCCAAAAGAAAATATCATCCAAAGCATAGAGAAAATAAATTCCTCTGTTGGTGCAACAAGTATTACTTCACAACAGTGTGTTTTCAGAGACCAAGAACCAAAGGTAATTTTCCCATGTCAGGGTGTTCTTTTTATTTGTATAGAAAAGTTTTCTTTTTTCATTCTCAAAAGTTCTCTATAATATCTTTCTCCCCTCTTCTCCCATCCTTCACTTCATCACACACACCACACACATGTGAATGCTAAGTCAAAGCTTTTATCCAAAGGAAATGTTTGAGGAGGAATATAATTGAGAGAGAAACCATGCGGTATCTTTGTCTTTAAAACAAAGTCAAAACAAAATCACAGAGCAACAGGGTTTAGAAGAGTTGGAAAAGGATAATATGAATTAAAAGCGTAGTAAAATTATGTGTGCATACATTTGTACACATTCATACATATGCATGTATACATATATATTTAATAGCCTACTTTTTAGTAATGAGATCAGTATTATGCATATAGAAGAGCTGGGGGTTTGTTTTGTGGTGGTATGTGTGTCAATATTTTTAAAGCTAGATAGTGGAAGGGGTAAGGAGTAGGACAGGGCCATACAGTACCTTTTAAGTCATTTGTGGAAATAGGATTTATCAATATCTTGGATTGAATTATTTTTTTAGTAGATAAATTTCCCTCTTTTTCTTAAGCCCTACTTTTTGACTCTGCATCCAATGATCCAACATATCCACATAGGAATCTTTCTGTTCTACTTAAGATATGTGTTTCTGTGCTCATTAAATATTTGTACCCACTTTTTTCTTACTTGGAGATCTACTTAATGTCAGTGTTTCTTCTCTTTCAGTACAGAATTTATTGAACTCGAGAGATATAAGATTGGTTAAAGGTATAAGACTTTTTCAGACTACTATAATTTCTAATTAATGTCACTTAGATTATTTTAACTTGTCATTAGTGTGTGTTCTCATTTCAGTTGTTTGAGAATTTAATAACTGTAACCTTTTTAGTGCAAGAAAGTGAAATAAGAAATTGCATGGAAACATTATTTATTTGACTCAGTTCAGTGCAGTGGGTGGTAAGGCAAGGGTAATGCAAACCAATCATTTAGGACTTTAAAGCATGCTTGAAGTAAGATGAGGAAATCACTTAGTTACCAGTCTGTTAAAATAGCTTAAGTAATGGGTAGTATTGTTTGTGTGTTTTCTTTTCCTAATTTCAGATCCAGAATGAGATGGCATCAACATTACAAAAAGATGCTCAAGAAAGAAATGACAAGAAAAATTCTCAAGGGAGCAGCAGTAGGACACATCTGAAGACTGATGCTGAATTTAAAAAGCTGTTTGGTCTCACTAAAGATTTGAGAATAAGACTTACTCGGATTCCTGACCATTTGGGTGCTGGAGATTTTGATTCCTTTAGGAATTTGGTGAAGAGTGACAAAGAGACAAAGTTTACAGTGAAGGAGGAAGAGAAAAAACAGGTAATAGATTTTAAAGTATTCTTTGTAGGTACTCCAAAGAGACATGAGTGTATTAATTTTTAAAAAAAAATATATATATTATTGATTTTTTACAGAGAGAGGAAGGGAGAGGGATAGAGAGTTAGCAACATCAATGAGAGAGAGACATTGATCAGCTGCCTCCTGCACACCTCCTACTGGGAATGTGCCCGCAACCAAGGTACATGCCTTTGACTGGAATCGTACCAGGGACCTTTCAGACCACAGGCCGATGCTCTATCTATTGAGCCAAACCAGTTTCGGCTGTATTAATTTTTTTATGTATTAATATAAATAATAGTTACCAACTTGGCATATATTTATATTATACCAAAATGGTGTTAAAAAGAACTATATATGCATAGGTAAAAATGCATCCATGGTTAATTAATGATGATGTTTCAAGTGTTTTTATTCACCTACTGTTTATTTTTCATCACAAAGTTATAAGAAAATAGCCATAGCTTTTTAATTATACTACTTTGAAGACCCTGTCTACAATAAATAATCCAAGTGTAGGGAAAGTATAAGCATGCAGATGTTTATTGCAATATTACTCTTACTACTAATATCTTAAGAAATCTTCATGATCAATGATGATAAAAAGAAGCATCCCCGTAACTTTGCCTACTGTCATTCTACTTATAAGATCAGATATCATTCTATCTATTCCAATGAAAGTCTTTAGTATGTGCCTACCAAGCAAGGGGGAAAAAATGTAAGTTAATTCTCAGGTTCTTCACAAATGGTTGTTAAATTTTGGTGGTAGATCAATATAGATCCTAATACTTAATATAAGGAAAATGTGAATTCAGCAATTCATTCTCAATGAAAATCATTAGGATATTGCTGGGTTTTAGGTACCATAAATATTAATCTCTTGCTGTAATTGTTCTCAATATATTTTGTTGAGTTGAATTTAATTACTATATATTTGTATCTTCAAACTTGTTAAATTTCAGAGCACACTCTATATATGGCACTAATAATTTGCTTTTCCATTGGAATAGTACTCAGCATTGCAACAGGGTTTTGATAAGAAAAGAAAAGCAAAAACTGTGAAGAAGATGGATCGTGCAAAGAAGAGAAAAATCGAGAGTGCTTATAACACAGCTATAAATGGAGGAATTAGCTGTATTTTACCAACTTCAGATGTATCACATCATAATATTATCACAAATTGCAATAAAACCAGAGAAGAAAGAACTGAAGTAGAACACTGTACCCGTGAAAACCAGGAGAAAGTTGCTTTGAGTTCACATGCGGATTTTGGACAAAGCCATTCCTTTACCAGAAATTATACTGAAGATATTTTTCCCATGAGACCACCAGAGTTAGAAGAAACCATTCGAGATGAAAAAATAAGAAGACTTAAACAGATGCTGAGAGAGAAAGAAGCAGCCCTTGAAGAAATGCGTAAGAAGATGCACCAAAAATAATAAAATGTTGCCATACTTAAAGACTTCAGTGAATTAGCTCTGTTTTTACCAGACGTTTTTGCATTAAGTTAACTATAGATACATTCTGAAAGTGTCAATGAATATGAAGTTTGGTTTTTCATCAGTTGACTATAAAATTTTGTTTAAGGAATGCAGAAAAGGTTGATTCACATAGAACTTCAATAATGTTCATGGGCTATCTAAATTTTTACCCTTTTTTTTGGAAGGAAAATTTGCCTAATGTTTTTGTTTTGTTATTTTTAAAAAAAAATATATTTTATTGATTTTTCACCGAGAGGAAGAGAGAGGGATAGAGAGATAGAAACATCGATGAGAGAGAATGATCAATCAGCTGCCTCTTGCACACCCCCTACTGGGGATGTACCCGCAACCAAGGTACATGCCCTTGGCCGGAATCAAACCTGGGACCTTTCAGTCCACAGGCTGATGCTCTATCCACTGAGCCAAACCGGTCCCGGCTTGTTTTGTTATTTTTAACTAGAATTCCCAAAATTAGAATAATTGTGCAGGATTTTTATTATTGTTTGTATCTTTAGTTAAATTGCTAATGTATACTATTGAAATTATACAATCCAATAGAGAAAATCAGTTCCAAAACTTACTTATTATAGTTTTGCCACTGGACTTGTGTATGTACTTACTTAGTTTCTTTACCCATGAAATGATGATATTTTCTGCTTACCACTGTAAATTTGTTTTAAATCATGAAAAAAATATAGCAGCATTATTTAAAAATTACAACTTTTTTTTTTTTTTTCAAGACTGAGGGATACCTGTTTTGTAACTTTTACAAAATAATTTTACATAATCCAAACTTTTTAGAATTCAGGCTATATAATGTATTGTTTGCTTAACATGATGTGTCATTATTTCTAGGCAAATGCTGCTTTTTTTGAAATATGTAACTTGGACTGTGTGAAAAGTAAATCTGAACAATGGCCACATTTAATACTTTTTTAAAATGTAAAATGTGGTTTTTCTTAAAAGAGTCAAACAGTTTTCTATCTGGTTACCTTTGAGGGATAAGGAAGAAAGAAGAAAATGTTATTTAAAAAAATGATAAATAAATCCCTAGAAGTAAGATCAAATAAAACCTGTACATTGACAAAATAGAAAACAGAAAATACTCATATATTAGTCAGGAACTATTCAAGATATAATATAATGTATTTAATATTCTCTTCTAATATTCACAATCAGGATACATAACTAGGTTGTGAGTTCAATTCTTAGGTTCTTCACAAACAGCTGTTAAATGTTGGTGGTAGATCAGAACAAATACAAAGTGATCATCAACTAGATTCTCCTGCCTTTTATTTTTTGTAATAGTTCTATTGAGATAATTTATGTATCATAAAATTCACTCTTTTAAAGTATATGCTTCAGTGGCTTTTACTATATTCACAGTTTGCAACATAGACATCTAATTTTAGAATATTTTCATTACTGCCACCTCCCCCCACCCTAAACCTCATATGAATTAGCAATCACTCCCCAGAACCCCCTTCCTCCAGCCTTAGCAACAATGAACACACTTCCTTATCTCTATAGATTTGCTTGTTCTGGACATTTCATATACATGCAATGAATCATTCAAAATATTTTATTTAGTGACTGGTTTATTTCTCTCTCAGCTAATGTCAAGGTTCATCTATTCTCTAGCATGCTTTAGTACTTAATTTTTAAAATTCTTTGTTTAGATTAAAAAAAAATCCTCACTCAAAGATATATGTACTGATTTTAGAGAGAGGAAGAGAGAGAGACATCGATGTGAAAGAGAAATATTGATTGCCTCTGTACATGCCCGATGCGATTGAACCCACAATCCAATTATGTGCCCTGACTGAGAATTGAACCTACAACCTTTTGGTTTACAGGATGTCACTCCAGCCAACCAGGCCACCCAGCTAGAGCAGTGCTTAATTTTTTAAATTGCTGAATAATATTTCATTGTATAGATATATACCATACTTTGTTTACTTACTCACGGATATTTGGATTGTTTACACTTTTAGCTACTAGGATGTTATGTTGCCATGAAAGTTTGGGTAGAAGTTTTTGTGTGGATATATATTTTCAATTCTCTCGGGTATCTGAGAGGAGAATTACTAGATCATATCCTAACTTTTGTTTAACATTTTGAGGAACCACCAAACTATTCCAGTCAGGTTGTGTTCCCCCTACTTTACCAAAATGGATCTCGTCAAGGACACTAGTGACTTCCATGTAGCTAGGTCTAGTGATCAATTGTCAGGCTTCTTAATTCATCATCTTAATTTATCCATCAGGGAAGACATAGTTTCATGAGTCATTACTTCCTTTTAAAAAAAAATACATTTTTTTTTTATTAAAGAAGCAACACATGTATGTTATAGAAAATACAATAAGCTAACGTATTAAAAGTTGGAACTTTATATTCCCACTAAACTAAAAATATTAGTAGATATCAAAGGCTATCAGTAAATAAATATTAATGAAAGTCATAAATATGGATAAACATCCCATAGGAGGATAGGATAAATACAATAAAACTGTGGGCTCATCTAATGTCTGAGTACATTTAAAAATTGGCAAAAAAGAAAACCCCAATGAAATTAATTTTGAGGATTATCGATAGAAGAAGAGAATATTAAATTAATTATATCTTGAATAGTTCCTGACTAATATATCAGTATTCGTTAAAAAAAAAATTAAACTAAAATTATCCTAAGGACATTGCATCCACTTTCCATTTGATTTCTTCTTTTTATTTAACTCATTTGTTTTAGCCTACTTTCTCCTTTTGAGTTTTCTGCTTCTTTATTACGGTTTTGCTGCTCATGAAATCCTCAAGCACTCATAATTCTTTCCATTGTACTTTATAATCCAAAATGTGGCTTGAATACTTTACAACAAAATTCCCTAAATATGCTGATGGTCTCAAACTCCTATTCCTTATTCTGAATTTCACTTAAATTGGGTTTTATCTTTACCACTCCACTAAAGCTTTCCCCCCCCCCTCAAAGTTTCTAACAATTGCTATCGTATGGTCAGTTGACACTTTATCAGACTGTCTTTGAAATTTGTTCTTTGCTCTGTTTCTGTGACACCGAATTCTTGTTTTCCTTCTACCATATTGGTCATTCTTAATCTCTGGCTGATTCCTTCCCTTTTCCATGATCTTGGTAATGTTGTTTATTTTACATCTGTACTCACTCATCTGGTTCACATGGATCAAAATGCCATCTATATCTGGGAACTCCCAACATTGTATTTCTTGACATTTCCACTTAAAAGTCTAATAGGTATCTCCAATTTAACACGGACCAGCTTCCAATTATCATCCACACCCAAAATTTGCCTCAACCAAGATAGCCAAGTGATTTTGTTAAAAGTATAAGGAAGGGAAAAGGACTGAAAATCCAACAGAAAAATGAGAAAAATACATGAACAGATAATTCATCATAAAAGGTATAAAAATGGTCTTCAAGCATGAAAATGTTTAAAATGAATTCAAAAATTGCATAAATGCAAGGTAAAAATTGGATTAATGGTATTCATCAGATGCCATTACTCAGCTGGAAAAGATTTAAGAATATGACAACACATTGTGTTTGCGAGGCTGTGAGGACACTGCTATGGGAATACAATTTGGTACATCCTTTTGGAAGGAAATTAGGCAATGTCTAACAAAGCAATGTATTTACCTTTCAACCAATAAGATCACCAATCGTATTTTTAAGACATGCCTCCAACAATATGAAAAAAAAATATATAAAAGTTTATTACAATTTTGTTTTTGCGAAGTATTGAAAACAGCTCCAATGCCCATTGATAGGAGAGTGGTTGAAAAATCCATGGTATGTCTACACAGTAGAATACTAAGTACCTGTAGAATGAGGAAGAGCTCTATGAGCTGATATGTAATAATTCTCCAATATATACTCTAAAATGAAAAAAAGCAAAGTACAAAAGAGGCTACAGCATGCTGCCCCTCATATAAGAGAAAAAGTCATAAAAAATATGTTCATTTATGTGAAAAATACAGAAAAGATAAATGAAAAACTAATGAGACTAAGGAAAAGAGATTGAATAGGGGGCTGGGAATAGGTTAGCAGGGATTGTGTAGAGCAACATTTCTCTACACTTTTTCTATAGTTCCAACTCAAAAATCACAGTAATGTGTTGCATACCCTTCCCATACTCCCAAGCAAATTATTAAAACCAACTAGGAAATGGAAGGAATCCAAACCAGAATGCAGATATTAACATGTACGTGGAAATGTAGCCTGTAAGGCAGTAATTGAGGTTAAATGAGATCAGAAGGATGGGCCCTGATGAAATGGGATTAGTGTCCTTATGAGACATTAGAGTGCCTTTACTACCAACCACCATCATCATGAATGCACTGAGGAGCGAGCATGCTCTCACTGAAGAAAGGCCATCTGAGGAGAGAACACAGCAAGGATCTCCCTTATGGCCGCCATCTGATTTATCATCAAAAACTCTACAGGTCAGTGGGAATGGTATAAAGTATTCAAGGTAATGAAAAGCAAAGATCTGAGACTAAGACCATTCAGAAAGGCTATCGTGCAAAAATATATAGTGAAATAAAGGACTTCCCAGACAAAAACAATGCTAAAGGAGTTTATTACCACCAAATGAGCATTGCAAAATACGTTAAAAGGACTAATACACACTGACACACACACTGTAAGTCGAATACACAACATTCATGCACTGAGGGGTGGGGGCGTCTCTCAGCCTGACCTGTGCCCTCTCGCAGTCTGGGATCCTCCAAAGGGTCCTTAGCACTACCTCAGAGGCAGGAGAGGCTCCTCCCACTGCCACTGTGCTCGCCAGCGGTGAGCCCAGCCCCTGGCTGAGCGGCGCTCCCCCTGTGGGAGCACAGTGACCACCAGGGGGTAGCTTCTGTGCTGAGCGTCTGTCCCCTGATGATCAGTGAGCATCATAGCTACTGGCCACTCTGCCATTGGGTC